GGGATTAGGCAATCACAAGAATGGCAAAACAAATGCTTAGAAATTAAAAAAGGCCAAGACGGGCAAATTAGGGTATTTTTTGCTTGTAGGGACAAATTGCCGTACAAATTGGGGCTTCGAAATCCTATGCCTTAAGGCCGTTGCTTAATTTCCTTTTAAACAACCCCCCACGAACCTGCTTAATTAACCTATGGAGAAAGATAATATTTCGCCACCTTGGCTTTCATTTATGGCTTGCTTTTAGTTGCTGAATATTGCAGTAAGTGATAAAATTTATTACAGTGCAGCATCATAAAATCCCTACGACGGCACGCAAAGGAACACATTCGACAGAGGTAAAACATTTTGAGAGATTTAGTAAAAGTGAATAACTGATTCGAGGAGCAGAGGAGCTCAAAACGGTGCCAATTCCTTATAGCTATGATTGTATAAATTTAATAAATATGCATAAATGATATTATTTTCCACAAGAGTATAATAAATAAAATACAGATAAATACAAATACAGATAAAACTGTATTTTTCCAATTCAACGTATGAAATGTATGTTTACCAGTTTCTATTCCTAAAGCTGTCTTATTCGCAGATTATTTAACATTACGCTTATAGGGCAGCTACTACCAAAAAAAGGCCTTCATCTTCGCTCCAGAACTCGTAGTATTTGCGTTTTGATTAATTCTGGGTTACCTTAAAAAATTCCACCTACTTTTACTTCTTGATATTCTCGTAATACGATGTAGACCTGCAAAAAATGGTCCTCTTTAAGGGATAAAATTTCATTAACCAGACTCATGATGTACAGGTCTTGTATTGCCACCACAAATATTTGTGTTTTCAATGGTCATCTGATGGGTAGGTGGATGAACTTCATGAATGTCTCTCTATTGGCTCCAAATTTTCGTTAAGATGTCAAGCCAGAAGAGCAAATGTGACCCCTGACTTTATAGACAAACACGGAAAGAGTGCACACTTACCTTTTAGAGGACACGAACATGATGAACTTTCTGGAAAAGAGCTACCTGTAGATAGAGTCGATGTTTTGGCTCCCCAGCATATTCCCAACTAGTTCAGCATAAATATCTGGCTATCTACGTAACAAATTGTTGTACTTTAAGGTCACAATAACCCTGAACTAACATCATATATTAATCAATGGGATGATTTGACGTGAAACTACTGAACTCTTCATAATTGAACACTCTAGATAATGGATTGAAATCAGGGAAGGGCCTTAAAATTTGCTAATCACTAACAGATCTTTGCAGAATTTGTCTTAAAACAATCCAAAATTAAGAACTTAGCTTCAAAAACATCAAGTGAAAATTTTCATTTTTTACCATGTCAAGCCACGTACGTCTTGAATTTTACGTTTTAGGAGTTCGTTTGCTCGCATATTTTAAAGTTACTGAAACTTTTTACAGTTTTTACAGAGTTTAGAGAGGTACAGTAGAACGCACCATCCAAAAATAGTTTGAATGCATAATTTGCCTTTGATGATAAAAATACTCTAAATCATGTGCACTAAGTTATGGAACGCCGGAAGGCCTTCCATTTTTCACAGTGGCGGAGAATCATTAGTCTATACTGGCAAAAAAATTAGAGGTTAGGGCGACAAGAACAACTTTTGGCAATGTTCATCATAAACTGGTAGAATAATTGCGGAGACACCTAGCTTAATCCTCCTCATTCCCCTGATGGTATTTCTCTAGGCAGTGATCACACCTTTAAATTGGATAATCTTTCGATGACGCTTAAGACAGACTAAACAAGTTGGAAATAAAAGTGAGGTAAATAGGATTTGCCTAAGATGCGATTAATTTGCCTACGAGGTGATTTATTTTACGAAACTGGGAGTCGTTGACTTATTTCGTGTTCTAAAATAATTATAAATTAATAATTATTCTAGAAGCATTTCTGGTTGTTAAAAGCTCGTTTCCTATGAATCCATAAAACTAGTTTATTTCCAATTTACAAAGAACAGACTCACATGACAGTTATTTTAGCTCAATAGAGAAAAGAATAAATTTATAAGGACTTTAAATGAAGAAAATATCCGACCATAAATGCGTAACTCCCTTTAAATGGGGACGTAGCTGCGATGAGAAAGCGCTTTCATATATCCGGTCACCGTAAACAAGACCTTACAAAAGTCCCCAGATCACACTGCTATCTCAAATCATGTAAAAAATTTTGGCATTTAAGCTAACTTTAGGAATGCATCGAATGCGTAAAATGCTGAAGGTGACTAAGAGTTAAAAGTTGTCTTTTTTAGCATATCCTTGATTTTGGATTCTACAATAGGCCTAACAAACTATTTAGAACATGGTCCGGTAACATATTGTCCCCTTATGTTGGGGTATACAGACAAATCGTGCCACTAAAAGTGACTTAGCAGTGGGGCATACCTGTTTTAGAACTTCTTTCAGGCTTTGAAGCAATAGTTCAAATGGATTCTCATTGGGTACAGCGCCACTTAATAATCTGAAATTTAGTATAATTTAGGTTTGCTGCTGTGAGCTCTTCAAATTCTACAGATTTAGCAAATTTTTCTGGCAATGTGGTCTTCTGCCTGGGCCTACACCTTCACGCACTTTTAGTGCATTAATGCTAAGTCCTCTTGTGTTGGTCCGCCTTATCACGACAGAATGACGGAATACTAAAGAAGTTGTAGCCTAAAAACTACCTAATAGTGAAAGCTGTAAGTTCCTTAATAAAAACATCTTAATCACAAAATCCAAATTTCCGTTCGACTTTTAGATCTATTTACGAAATTCAGTCTGCTTGACTTGCTGTTATTTTATCATTTGATCAAAATATTTAAGGCGGCTTTTTTCTATTTCCTTTTGTTTCATAGCGTAGCCAGCCATTTCACTTGATTGTTGGGCTTACATTCCATAAATATCAAGGTAAATTTTCCTCGCTATTTGTGGCTAGGAAAAAGTGGAATGCTATAGAATGATGTTTAAAGACCAATGTCAAAAATGCGGCCAATTTATAAGAATTTTAGCTAATAGTTAAGCTCTAGAGGAGATACAGAAACTTCGAAATCTAATCATAATTCACTTAAAATTAGTGATCTTTTCTGTTTTATTCTTTAAGTTGTAGTCGGCACCAAAATGTACCACAATGCCCTAAAAGTTATCAGCTGGAAGTTGAGTTTAAAGCAGTTGCAGTCCATAGTTGTAACACTTGCTTTGGCTTGCGATATTAATCCATCTAAGATTCTTATTCTTTAAAACAGACGGGTAGTAGACTCTGCGAAAAATATTCAGGTGTAATTTTTGCAAAGAACTTATAGTTTAGGTTCAGAATGACGACTAAGGACCTTAAGGAAGTAAGGAGAGCAGATGCTTCAAAACTTCTGTATCTTATTTTTATTTGAAAAATCATCTTTCGGTGAATCTTTTAAGAAAGGCGACTGCGACGATCGATTTGTGCGATGTGCCTGTGTCAATAGACCTTTTGATGGTGGGTGGAGAATTAGAAAAACGCCCAAACTAGACTAGGGCTTTTAAAATTTGAATTTCCGCAGTACAGCATTATGATTCGCCACGCTATCCAGAAATATTTCAATAACAAAAGAGCGAACTACTGGAGAATATTCATTAAACGGTAACCTTAAAAAATATAAAACGCTATCAAATGAATTCTGCGAGGTGGATATTGCACTTTATCCGTTGAAATACGACCCCTGTTCACCTGTGTACATCCCTTTATATTAGTGGCACCTAGACTGATGCAGCATTGAGAGATTCCTCAGTGCACTTACATCATCATAGAACGGTCTGTCTGCCCTTCAACCCTTCCATGTTGATTAACACAAGAGGGCCTTTGCATTACTCGGCAGATGCAAACTTCTCGAAACCGTAAATACCCTTAAACAGTTGTATTGTGCTCTCTATTCCAAATGTCGGATTACCCTACTGTTAAATTAGTTTAATGAAAATCTATTTATTCTTCATTTCACATTTATTTTTCACGATTATCCGTGCTTTCTTAGCGTTTGCTGAACTGCACAGGATTGAGTCCAGAGGGGATAAGCTGAAAACAGCATGACCACAGTCATAATAATCACTGGGGTACAGATGTGAAACTGTCTTTAAAAAGTCTATGTCATTTGAATGACCTGCCGCTGGACAGCAATCGAGAAGTAACCAAACAAAAGCCCAGCGACTGTCGAGTTTTATATCCCAATGGCAAACTATGCCTAAGGTCTCTTGTACGATTAGATCTATGCGAATTACACGCTTTTTTTAAGAAAGGCAGTACACCATTTCCTTTACCAATTATCACTGCTACCTGCCACCTCGAATGACGTTTTTCTGACCTACTTATGGTAATAGGATAGTAATAAGAGTAGTGCTGCAGAGGATTAAATGCTTGTGATCTTTCCAAATTACAAGTCCCAATATGACTTAAACATTCAAACGTAAAAGAAACTTATTATGGAACAGGTAAAAGTTTTCTGATAGCTGTTTTTTACACAAATAAAAAACACTAACGAAAACGTAATCAGAGCAATAAAGGGGGAATTTTCATCCTTTTAGTCAAATTGCTTATAATCAAGCTGTCAAATCCATAACGCAACCACTAGTTGGCATTACCTGTAATAAATGATGCAATTGAATGGGTAAATTTGCGAAACTGCAGTATTCCTAAAAATCAGAGGTATTTTTAAAAGCCTGTTTAATTCGTGTTTACAGATTTACAAGTGCCTTATATCAGTTTAAGGGGTATTCCTCACAAACTTCTCATTCTAATTAATCAACTTAACGCAAAAGTTAGTGTGCACTATTACGTTCATTGAAATGGTGAATTTTCCAGCGCATTGAATTCTAAAACCTAATATGACATGAAAGCGAGAAGCGTAAGAACGTTTGGACAATCCAAAAGACGTCTGAAAATCATTACAATTTCATTTCTGTGGACACTTTAGTTATAGCAGGTCCTGGTCGACATCTAGGTAACAAGATGTTCTGTCTCTATCGTTTCTTTTAAGGCCTAGTCAACTTTTTTCTTTTTGAACAAGGCTTCATCTAAGAACGTGGATTTAGCGATAGCTCCAAGGAAGAATCAGACGCAAAACTGATGGTAGTGATTAGAACTTTACCGCAAACTAGCAGCAGGTGAAATCACTTAAATCATGAATCTTGCAAGGTGGTATAGTGGGCACCAGCTGAAGTGACAACATAGTAGAGCAATTGAAGAAATCATCACAGTGTACCCAAAGATGTCTTCATTTCAACAAAATGTGCCTAATTTGTGCCGTACGATCCCGACCAAAACTCAGATAATCAACTAGGCAGCACTAAACGTACCATAAGGAGAAAAAGCAGCGATGACTACATTCCTGGCAAAGAATCATACAAATGGTGACTAGTATATACGATGTGGTAATCAGAGCATTCAACGGTCATTATTAGTACCAGATTAGTTAATCTTTAACAGAATGAAGGAACCAAAACAGTTGACGAAACCCATGGATGTGATTGAAGTAGAATGTCCTCGCGTCTAGGACAAGCCACTCATTGTCTTGGTTCCAGGCTTATGAGTAGTTTGTGCATCACTGACTATGATGTATAGCCTGAAGCCGAAGAATGATGATGCTGCATTTGTTTTAGTAGTCTCTCCCTCAATATCTTAGTGTCGCTGCGTCTTGAAGGCTCTGATTCTATTAAAAAGTCTTATATTACCAAACAGGGTTCTCGAAGGTGACACAAATGCTGCTTATGGATCATTGGACAAAAAATTTAAGGGGATGTCTATAGAATGTTCTTTGATGTTTTGAAAGCTTCCATTTTCTAATTACTAACAATCTGCAATGGATATGGCCTTTCATAAATTATATCACCATATGTCGATAAATCCTACAAAGCCCATTTCGATGATTTAAGTATCTCAATAGCTATCAACTGGCAATTTGTGCATTTCTGTGTTTTTAAAGTTTTGCAAAGCAACAACTAGCTTAAACAGCTAATAGAATGGCCATTGAGACCCATTTTTAATGCCAAAATTGTGGTTTCAG